CTGGCACTTTGGGGTTCATCAGACCTGGCACTTTGGAGATCATCAGACCTGTCACTTTGGAGTTCACCAGACCTGGCGCTTTGGGATTCATCAGACCTGGCACTTTGGAGATCATCAGACCTGACACTTTGGAGATCATGAGACTTGGCGCTTTTGTAATCATCAAGTCTTCCTCTCAGACCTGTCATTTTTGTAATAATCAAACTCTAAATAATTGACCGGTCTACTTGTTTTTCTTTTTAGACTTCTGCCATGTAAGTCCTCCTAGTCCTCCTAGAGAACCCGGTCAAGTGCCCGGTGCACACCCCTTTACGAGTTCCCAGTCAAGTACCCGGTTATATGATGCAAAGAGGTTGGCCACTCTTTTTCCCGGCCCGTCCCAAGAGTGGAAGGGTTTACATAAGAGTGGGGAGGGTTCTATGAAAAAGAACGCCAGCCCTCTTCAAATGGAAGGGTCACCAGTTAAGGAGGCTTTCATGGTCCGGACGTATTCCTTTGTGCTTGGTTGAACTTCTTGAATTGTTAATTTTTTTGCATGGTTATTTTCCTTCCTGGTCCCCCTTTGAAGTTGACTCGTTAGACTTGCATGGTTGTTTTCTTGCTTGGTCCTCCTCTGAAATTGCCTGGCTAGACTTGCATGGTTGTTTTCTTGCTTGGCCCTCTCTTAGGAATTCCTTTTAGAATGTCTTGGTCATCTCATGTCCTGGTCTTGAAAACATCCAGGTCTAGTAGGCTTGGTTGAAACTTTTGAAGGACGTCCGGGTCTAGTAGGTCCTGGAAACATCCTGGTCTAAACTTTTATTCTCATCAACTCCTGAAAAGTCCTGAAAACGTCCGGGTTATATCATGTCCTGGTCAAGTGCAAATCTTGAAAACGTCCGGGTCATCTCGTGTCTTGATCAAGTGCAAGTCTTGAAAACGTCCGGGTCATCTCATGTCCTGGTCAAGTGCAAATCTTGAAAACGTCCAGGTCATCTCATATCCTGGTCAAGTGCAAGTCTTGAAAACGTCCAGGTCATTTCATGCCCATAAGAAACATTTTAAGAACGTCTAGGTCATCTCATGTCCTGGTTAGATTGGTTTTGAAGGTGTCCAGGTTTAGCAACCCCTTGAAACGACCAGGTCTAAACCTTTATTCTCATTCTCCAAGAAACGTCCAGGGCACCTCATGCTTGACTAGTCTTCTGGACTGGCTTACTGCTAGGTTGA